CCTCTTAATCATCCAACCATAGGTTGGTTTGCACGTTTCATGGACGTTGTTGATCCCGTTTTGCAAGATCCTCTCAAGTATTCCATACTACTACATTGACAACTCCTCTTCAAGTTGATTCTCAAAGGAAGACAACAAAGTCCAAGGTAAATACTAGTCATAGGCTCAAAGCAATTGCACTGTGTTTTAGAAACAAAGAAAAAAGCGACGCCTCAAGATAAAGTACTAAAAATATACTAGCAAAACGGTCCGTGCATTGCAACGGGAGAAAAAAAAATATTCAATGGCCATGACCACATTTCGCTCCATTATCGAGATACACAATCACTCTCATTTTCGTGACATCGTGAACAATTTTTGAAAATCATGAACATTTTTTTAAACTCGTGAAGATATCTGAAATCATGAACATTTTTACAGTCTTTTGAATATTTTCTAAAATCAGGAACATTTTTTAATTCATGAAAATTTAATACTATTTGTAAATATTTATTTAATTGTAAAATTCTTTAAAACATTTTACTTGAATAGGCGAACATTTCTAAAATCGACGAACAATTTTTTTGGAAATTGGTGGAGTAATTTTTGAAATTCATGAACATTTTTTTGATTTAAAGAACATTTTTTGAAATGCATGATAATTTTGGAAACAACAAACATTTTATGAATCAATAAACTATTTTGTACGTCACGAACAGTTTTTGAATTTTTAGGATATTTTTTAATTCATAAATATTTTTGAATTGACGAATTTTTGTTAAATTTTTTTATTACACAAACTTTTAAAAAAAATCATGAACATTTTGTTTATTTTTTTAACATTTGTTTTGAATATTGCAAACATTTTTGGAAAACCGCAATCATTTTCTGAATCCACAAATATTTATGAAGTATTAAATATTTTATTTTAAAATTCTCGTTTTTTTAATTTTCATAACTTTTTTAAGTACAAATTATTTAAATTAGAAAAAACAAAGACAGAAAAGGAAAATAAAAAATAAAAAACGAAATTCAGTGTAGGTAAGCTACTTTCTAATGGTGCAAAAGCTTGGCCAAACACCAGCCTTAGAGCATCTCCACTCGCGCCCCCAACACGCCCCCGAGGGCGGGTTTTCTTGCGCCGGGGCCGAAAAACCCCCCAGTCACCCCCTCCCCCCCCAAGGACACCAAATTTCGCCGGTTCGGCCCATTTTTTGGCCCGGTGATCCCAGGCAGAACCCAGCACACTAGGGGGCGCTTGGGGGCTCCGGCGGAGGGAAAATCCGCTCCTGGGCCACCACTGTGAGGCGAAAAAGTATTTCCCATGTCCAGATTCGCCCCCGCGCGCCCCCTTCCGTCGTCGTGCATATTCCAGCGCCACCGCCGCTAGAAAAGGTCATTTCCCCCGTCGGAAAAGAGAGGGTCGAACGGCAGCCTCCACCCTGCCCCTAGGCGAGCTTTCCGGCGCTCCGGCCACGCAGGCGGGGACACTGGCGGTTGCACGCCTACCCCGCCCGCCAGGCGTTCGGTGATTTTTCTGCCCGGCGATGGACTCGGACGACGAGGAGGCGTTCGCGGCGCTACTGGAGGAGGAAGCCGATGCCGACGCCCAGGACGAAGAGCACCTCATGGTTCTCGCCGCTCTGGCCGGCCTGTTCGCGAGCAATGCAAAGCCGTGGCGAGGTGGCTCGACGCCGGACCGAGTGAAGGCAAAGCAGAGGCATCGACTGGAAGGTTGTTGCTTACTCTACGCCGACTACTTCGCCGATGCTCCACTGCACGACGAGAAAGTATTTCGGCTCGTTATCAAATGAGTCGAAAGCTCTTCCTCGGGATTGTGAATTCCATCCGAGAGTTCGACAACTACTTCAAGTGCAAGAAAGATTGCATCGGTACACTTGGATTCACCTCACTCCATAAGTGCACTACAACTATAAGAATGCTTGCATACCGAGCTCCCGGTGATATGCTGGAAAACTATGGACGCATGGCCGAGTCCACCACCATTGACTGTTTGTACAAGTTCTGCAGGGCAGTGGTGGCAGTGGTTGGGCCACAATACTTGCTATCACCCAATGTCGAAGACACTGCTCGGATCCTAGCACATAATGCAGCAAGAGGATTCCCTAAGATGCTTGGAAGCATAGACTGCATGCATTGAGCATGGAAAAACTGTCTGTTTGCTTGACAGGGGATGTACAAAGGCGCCAAAGGAGCTTGCAGTGTGGTACTTGAGGCAATGGCCACACAGGACATCTGAATTTGGCACTCCTTCTTTGGCATGCGAGGAACTCACAATGACATCATCATACTGCAGTGCTCGAATGTCTTTGTCGAGCTTGTTGAAGGTCATGCTCCTCCGATGAACTTCGAGGTCAATGGGCGCCACTACAACAGGGGCTACTACCTAGCAGATGGCATCTATCCGAGATGGTCCACATTTGTGAAGACTATCTCAAACCTTGTGCCGGGAGGCAAGAACTCCTACTTTGCCAAGTGTCTGGAGGCTTGCAGGAAGGATGTTGAGCGGGCATTTGGTGTGCTCCAATCTCGATTTGTTGTTGTCCGGTACCCCGCCCTGGCCTGTTCGAAAGATTGATGTGGGAAGTCATGACTTGCTGTGTCATCTTGCACAACATGATGATTGAGAGCGAGCAGGAAGAGCAGGGTCCTCTTGCCCAAGTTGATCACCAGCTACCGATAATCTGGACTACCTTCCTTAATATGCGTCAGGAGATCCGAGACCCACAGGTGCATCAACAACTGCAGCACGATCTGGTGGAGCACCTATGGACGCTCAAAGGCAACACCTAGCTCGACGTGTGATGAAATATGTGTTTTTATTTGTTGAACTATTTGATTTGTATTGATTTGTTGAACTATTTGATTTGTATTGATTTCTGTGATGAACTATGTGATAACAATTAGCTTTTTGTTGAATTTGTGCCGAAGCACGCCGAAATTGGGCCAATTTGCGCCAAAAATGGGCCGAAAACGGCGGCTGGGGGGTCGACTGAAAACCCGAGCCCCCCACGCCGATTCTTCCGCCAGTTGGCCCCCACAAGCCCCTAGGGGGCCGAATGGCTAGACATGCTCTTACAATCTAATCTTCAATTATCTGAAGCCATCAAACAAGGTCGTCTCTATTGTCAGACACTGAACTTAACCATTCTCTACACTCCACTGAAAGAACATTAGCTACACAATATGCAGGATACCAATTAAGACAACCATATTTAGGAGAAACGAAAGCACATTAGCTACACATCATGGACTTTATCCATGTTCAGTTTTTTTTTTGGGACAAGCTTTTTTGGGAGTTTATCCAAGTTTTTGTTCTTGTATAATACTCCCTTCGTCCGAAAAAGCTTGTCCCAAGTTTGTCTCTTAAATGGATGTATCTAGCACTAACTTGGTGCTAGATACATCCGTTTGAGGGACAAACTTTTGCGGACAGAGGGAGTATTTTATAAGAACAAAAACTACTTGCATCCATAAAGTAGGTGTCATTTTGGTTTTACTTTGATCACACCAGCTTGTAAAAGGCAAACACTTGTATGTCAAATTCAGACATGATAACATATTTGTTCTGACTGATATGATATGGAGGCGATTCTTGAGATTTACCTCATTACACAATCACCTTCCAACGGTCAGTAAATCCTTGTTTTTCCCAGTTTCTTCTGCATTTGGCGTCACTGTTGCTTCAGAAAGTTCGAACTTGAACAGATTGCCATGGCATTTCCTTCTGTGTTTGCTCTAATATGGGAATCTTCAGGTAAAGCCATGATACCAGCAGAACCACTATCTGAGATATTTGCGACATTAACTTGGTTAGTGAACGAACCCATGTCATTTTAAGCAACACTGGCAACCTGGAGACTAATTAAATAAATATTATAACAGCATGTTCATAAGCTGTACATGCCTTGCCATATGCCCAATTCTTCCTAATGCAGCTGTACTTATTTAAAAAAAAAATTGCAGTACAAAGAGAAGCAATATTGGAACACTAACAAACATGAAGTCCATGGTCAGAAATCACATGGAGCCTATGAGACATAAATGTCTCCTGTTTATTTAAGCAAAACAATATGTACAATAATAAATTATACAAGATGGATAAACGTATTTTCAGGTGACATACATATGCATCATGGAAAAGCTACCGATTTATTTATGGCTTGTTAGGGGAAAAAATACGTTTGATGAAAAATAAACTGATATAATCAGAGTAACAAACACCATCTATGGAATAAACTACGACGCAATGAAATAAAAAACGATGCGGGCTATGAAATTACGCGGCCCCCCTGGAAGGTTAGATCTTATAATCTCCTAGGGGGAGAACACAGCCGAATTGGAGCAAAAGCACTCTGATATCATGTATATCTATCATCCATTGTGTTGAAAATAGTTATGATGCTGCACATGCCTAGCCATGCTAAATTCTTCCTAATGGAGCTATACCAACTTACCAAAATAAACTGCAGTACAAAGAGAAGCAAGCAATATTGGAACACTAACAAACAGCAAGTCCATGGTCAGAAATCACATGGAGCTAAACTATGAGACATAAATGTGTGTCTCATAGGTATGAGAGAAAAATAATACATACAAACAAACTATGCAAGATCGATGAAAATATTTTCAGGTAACATACAGATGCAGCAGGGAAAAGCTAGCAAGTTATTTATGCTTTGTCAAGGGAGAAAATATGTTCTATGTAAAAGAAACTGGTATTACCAGAGTAACAAAAACCATCTACAGAAACTAAGAGGCAATGTAGGAAAAACAATGCGAGCTATAAAACTAAGCAGCCCCTTGAAGGTCAGATCTTATCATCTCCCAGAGGTGGCACACAGCGGAAATGGAGCAAAACAAACTCTGATGACATGTATATCTACTCGTATCTTGTGTTGAGAAGTATCGATGAATCAAATTACAGAAATTCTAATACAAGCAGGAAGGCGGTACGGCTCAACCAAAGAAGCATGAGTTACATTCAGGAGATCTGTGCTCTAGAAGTTCTTCAAGATTTTATCCTGTGATACGCCATCTGCTGTAAGGGCCGAGGTGACCTCCTCGATCATTTGGCTTTGCCCGCATAGCACAGCCCCAGTGGAAGCAGGATTGGCAATGTTCTTGGCTTCCAAGAACGCACGCTGAACATAACCCCTTTCACCTTTCCAGCCATCATCTGGCCGTGACAGGACCGGCACTATCTTGAGCCCAGATGACTCCCACTCTGCAAATCTCTCCTGATACGCCATTGTTTCCAGATTCCTGGCGCCATAGTAGAGCCTCACGTCAGCTCTCTGCTTGGCCGCGAAGCCGAACTCGATGAGCGAGCGGATCGGGCTGATCCCGGTCCCGGTGGCGAAGAGGAGCAGCGTCTCCGCGGCGTCCGCCGGGGTCACCCTCTCGACCGGGAACCCCTTCCCCATGATTGCGCCGAGCTCCACCACGTCCCCGTCGCGGAGGCCGCAGAGCTTCTCCGCGGTGGCGCCGGGCACGGCCTTGACGAGGAACTCGAAGGCGCCTCCCCCCGGCGGCGACGCGATGGCCATGAAGGCCGGCTTGAGGTCGTCCTCCCCGGGGACGCGGACCAGGAGGTACTGCCCCGGCGCGGTGAAGGAGGACGCGAGGTCGGCGGCGTCGGAGAGGTCTACGCGCAGGTGGAAGAGCGAGCCGTCGGCGCTGGCCGCGCCGATGGAGGCGACGGGGGCCGCGTTCCAGACCGCCGCGTCCTGCTTGACCGCGGCGGCCGCCAGGGAGGGCAGGCGGCGCCGGAGGAAGGGGAGCGAGCGCAGCATTTTGGGGCTGGCGAAGGCATGCCGGGAGGAGGGGAGGGGGGCGAGGGGCGTGGCGGAGATGGTGGCGGCCGTGGCCATGGCGGAGGGTCGGGGCTCCGAAGGCGCCGAGAAAGTAGGAGACCGTGGGGATCGGGTGGCGATTAGGAGAGGAGAGGAGCCCGTGGCTCTTGGGATGAAGGTGGGGGTCGGGCTTGGGTGGGCCCGGTGCTGTCAGGTTAGGTGCGCGCGGCCCATGATCAATAAAATCCCACTATCCCATTTGCCAGGGGAGAGCCGGCGTGTCCAACATATAGCGGATCAGAGCATCTCCAGCCATTGGCCCCTCAGAGCCCCTAAAATCGCCCCTTGGGGTGAGCCGGCGCAAAAACTCGGCCTGAGGTCGAGTTGGTCTCCAGCCGCCGGTTTCAGGGCCGTCCCCAGGCACGGTCAAAAAAATTTAAATATGTTGCAAAGTTCAAAGTTCGGCGAAGTTCGGCATATATTACATTTAAAAAGCGGGTTTTTATTACATATATAATTAAAAAGAGAACTGGCTAAAAGCTGAGTAGTAGTCGTCGTTGTCTGGCTTCTCCTCCTTGACGCGACCGTCCCTGGTGGATCCCTGACCGGCGTCGCCTATGCGGGCTGGTGGCGGCGTCGTCGCTGTCCTCGATGACGACGATTCCTCCCTCGTCGCGGCCCCAGTGGCGCTACGCGAATCGCCGCAGGGCGGCGCACTGGCGCTCCCTCGCCATCTTCAGGGAGTCCGCGCGCGCCCATTCTAGGGCCGCGTCATCGTCGAGCTCGACGTCGGCGCCGTGCTCCGTCTTCACCGCGGGGAGGCCCGGCTCTGTCTTCACCGGCGCCAGGCCCGGCTCCGTCTTGGGCTTGACGAAGCGCGGAGGAGCCGACGAGGGGGCGCGCCGGCCGCCCTCATTGATGACGATGCCGGCGCTGCGAGTGCGCCGGCCAAGCGGCGTCTCCGCCGCGGGCTCGGCCTTGACGCCGAGCAGCGCCGGAGCGTCGGACGAGTGTGAGGAAGAGCGGGAGGAGGAGGAAGAAGAGGAGGCACCGAACCTCCTGGGCAACCATTGCCCGTCGCGTCGGTGGTGAGCCGTGGCCGTGGCAGCCGCCCTCGCCGGGGGGTATGCCAACGGCAGGTCATTGCCGCCCTCGAGGGTCTGGCCGGGGACACCCCACCACAGGCGGCGTCCGTCGTTGTTCTTCGGTCCGGCCACCACCGGCGCGCCGTTGGTGGACGCCAGCCTCTGCTGCTGCCGGCGCTGGAAGTACGCCGTCCATGCCGCTGTGTTGTCGGCGGCGTACTTGGGGAGGGCGAGCTGGGCGGCGGTGAGGGAGGCGCGCACGACGTCGACCTCGTCGGCGAAGTAGCCCGGTTTCGCCACAGCGTCGGGCAACAGGGGAATGGGCACTTCCCCGTTGCTGAGTCTCCACCCCGTTGGCCCGACGCGCATGTCCGGCGGCGCCGAGATGTTCGCCTAGAACAGGAGCCAAGACTCCTGTTCGCGGAGCGATCGGCGGCCGAAGCCGTTGGCCGCGGCCTCATCGTCGGGGAATCGCTCGGCCATCGAGAGAGGGAGGGAGGGAGAGTGAGGGCTCGGCGGCGCCGCTCGGGAGAGGCAGGGCTCGACGTCGGCGCTCGGGAGAGGTAGAGGGCGGGCTAGGGCTGGTGTGGCTGGTGTAGCCAAAGGAGAGGGAGGCCACCGGCTTATATAGCGGCGCCGCCCCGTGTGTACGCGTGCGAGGGAGGGAAGGCATCGGCGCGCCGCCCCGTGAACGCGCTGCTCGTGAGGAATCACTGGTAACGCTGACCGGCGGCAGCCTTGCCATCGATTCCCCGCGGGAAACCAGGCGTTCGGGGAAGAAGACGCGCGGTGTCGCTGACGCGGCGGGTCCGCGGCTCTTTCGCGCCAAAACCGCTCGCCCCGGCGTCCCCGAGCGCCCCCCAGCGCGGCGGGTTCGGCCTGGGTCCGCCGGCGCTAAATTCGGCCCAGACCGGCAAAAATCGGGCTCCTGGAGACGCGACTGGGCCGATTTTTCAGCGTCGGCGCGAAAAAAACGCCTGAGAAGGCCTTTCTGAGGGCGCGGCTGGAGATGCTCTCAGCCACCTCCAGCAAAAAGTGCAGCGAAGCGACCACGAGCCCCACCTCCTCAATATGTAAAGTTCAACGTTGATGCTGGAATCAGAAGGGGTAGAAGAGGATCGGCAGCAGCGGTGTGCCGAGATAATGAAGGTAATTATTTGGGTAGTTCAGCTATTGTGATTTCTGGAGTGGATGATCCGGCGACAATGGAGATGATTGCATGCCGTGAGGCACTTTGTCTAGTTGAAGGTCTCCAAGTTAATCAATTTGTAGTAGCCAGCGATTGCAAGCAAGTGATCCAGGACATCAACCAGGGTACTTTGTGCAAATCACCAACGAAGTCATGACTAGATCTCTATCCTTTTTGTGTAAATCTATTTTTGAAGGTCGTGCCAACAACTACGAGGTACATAGATTAGCTTGGTTTTCCCTTAATCTTGCCTCGAGTCGTCATGTGTGGTTGGGCCAGCCCCATGACACAACTTGTATCCCACCCTCTGTGGACTTCGATGAATAAATTTTGGCCTAACCCTCAAAAAAAAATTCTCTGCAATTGATTTTTATGATCAATGAAATCATAGAGGACTTTTTTAAGGGAAAAATCATAGAGTCTGTTCTATAAAATCAAGGTACTGAGCAGTGTGTGTAACATTTGATTATGAATTCTGTGATCATGTCCTTCCAAGAAGCACCATAATTTTCGATTAGCCGAAGGACTAAAATTAGACCTTTCTCTTCATCGAGAACATACTTTAGCGGCACATACTGGAGCAGCGAATGTCATAATCGCTCCTCCTCCTCCTCCTCCAAGAAAGAAAGCTAGGGTTTCTGCCTCTCGCCGGCGCCGACGCAGGTCCGCCTCGTCTTCGGTGGCCCTAGGGCCATGGAGGCGCGGTGGATCCTGCCAAGGGCCGGCGGGAGGGCTTCATTTTCAGTCGTTTTTTCATGTCTTGTTAGGGTTTGTGTCCTGTTCAGGAAGGCGAGATGGTGGCGGCTCCCTGAAGATGGAATAAAGGTCTCCCCGCATAGCCCCCGTTTCGGCGGTGCATCTAGCATCGTTGGTGGGCGTGTGGAGGTGTGTCTCCGACGGATCTATCTTTGGTGGATTTGCTCGGATCTCGTTGTTGTTCGTCAACGTTTGTGTGTCTTCGGGTTGAATCCTTCCAACCTACGTTATTCTTCATCGGCGGCGGTTGCTATTCTGGTGGTTGGTCCTATGGGGTCTTAGCACGACGACTTTCCGACTGTCTACTACAATAAGTTGTGCCCAACTCCGGCGATGGAGGATTGATGACGGCGGCGCACCTTCGGCTCGCTTCAGTGCTTGTAGTCGTCGCTAGATGGTCTACAAATATGGATGTAATTTTTATTTCTAGTGTTCGTTGTATTGTCATGATTGAAGATGAATAGATTGAAAGTTTTTCCAATGAAAAAAAGAACATACTTTAGAAACGACATACTTTAGAAACGTTTGGGTGACATCTACAACTCCGAGAAAAAGATGTGTAGAATTTAAAGAAGCGCCATAATTTTGAGGTATAAAGTTGAAATTGGCACCCTTAGTGCATTGTGTTTTTCTGTATGTAAGTAGAGCCAAGCTGTAACTACTACTCTATCAATATGTAACTTTTGTGCTATAAATACTCTGGCATAGTAATTGTTGGTCAAATGCTTATCCTAACGAACCCAATATGCTATGTATTTTGGAAGGTATGGGGACACAAATGGCTTCTAAATCCAAACAAGATATTTGAGTACCTGATGACCGACAACTTCTACACAGAGAGAAAATAAACTATGCAATAAAATTTTGGTCATTTCACTATGGTTAAACTCAGTATGCCGTTTGGAGTGCAAAAAACGAAAACATAGGAATAGGTAAAAGAAGTACATGAGTTCACTGTCTTGTGTTGCCGATTTCTGCATAAACAGAAACTGTTGGAATTCCACAAAGTTGCTGTTTGGATGCACTACAACAATTTTGCAGAAAATGGTTTCTTACATGGAGAGAGGGGAAGGGAAAGAAAAACTCTTGGACTTGCCAAAGAAATTTCACCATGAGGTTTGACCCCATATTTAAAACTCCTCCAAAATGTGAAGGACAGGAATAATTTATATAAATAATAAATACAACATTTCATAGGTCCATTCCTACAATCCAAAGTGCCTCATAGGAAAATTCCTATAGGTTTACCAATGAGATTCCTTTGTTCCAAAAAAAGAAGAGCTTAACCTCATGAAAACGGTAGATGGTCTATTACATCTATTTACAAATGTGTTTTCTCAATTTTGACAACTTTCTCAAACGTAGTAATTCACAACCCCAACATAAATATTCTCTGGCTCCGCGGGTTGTTGCTCGATCACTGTTATATTTTCTGTCTCTACAAACTCCCACTTTCCTAGCAGTTGATGCCACAGGTTTGGATATTTGGGCCAGCGAGACGGGTAGTGAATGGATCAACACGAACCCACAGCAAGGAGAAGATAGAAGCGAGGAGGACAGCCCAGACGATGACAATCGTCGGTGTGCGGTTTTGCCTGCCCATAAGACCCTTGAGGAATGGGTATAAGTGAACAATCACCCAGAAGGCAAAGAAGAGCTTCCCAAAGAGCGGCCCCCATGATTGGTAACCACTGTTGATGGCGTAGGAGGTGCCAGCAACGACACCAACCATGTTAATGATCAAAATGGTCGTCGGAGGGATGAGAAGCGTCGTCCACTTGAACATGTAGAGCTCAGCAAAGTCGCCTTCTTCGTCATTAGCCTTTGAGGTGACAGTGAAGTTGGTGTCGATACCGGCAAGCACCTTCAGAAGACCCTGAAAGACGGCAAACAGATGTGCAGAGATACCTCCAATGACCCAGAACTGTTCATTCCTCCACCACTCGTCAATGCCAACACCACTCCACCTCATCTCAAGGATACCAGTGGCGAAAATTGAAAGGAAGAGCGCAATGAACCAGATACTGGCCAAGTTGCTAATCTGCATT